TTAGGTCTTATGTTTAAGTCTTTAATCCATCTGGAGTTAATTTTAGTGTAAGGTGTCAGGAAGGGGTCCTGTTTCTGCTTTCTGCACATGGCTAGCCAGTTTTCCCAACACCATTTATTAGTTCTCTATATTTTTAAAAGTGCATTTTTATGGAATAATTACAAACAATTAGAAAATGCCATTTAAGAGGTGGGTATGGGGCTGACAAAGGAGCTAAACATGTGGCTGACAGGGTAGGAGTCATGGAGATACCCAAAGGGGTATCCAGTGGGTTGGGAGACTGGTTATTTATAGGTAGAGTGAGAAAATAAGCAAATATATCAAAGATAATGGGAGGCAGGTCTTTCACAGTTGGAGAAGGGAGTTACAAATATGTAAAGGGGCAGAGGCAACAATGAACCTTGTGGTTGAATTGAAATTGGAGGTATCCATGTGAGGTTATGGTTTTTGATCCACAGAGATAGAGAAAACTACAGATCAATATCCCTCACGAACATAGACTCAAAAATCCTCAATAAAGTATTAACATATTGAATCCAGCAATATATGAAAAGAACTAGACCTCACTGCCAAATGGGATTTATTCTAGTAATGCAAGGCTGGTTTGTCATTCAAAAAGTATTGTAGTTCACTATATTAACAGGTTAAAGAAGAAAAACCAACTTCAAAAAAATGGACTTCAAATATTGATTGACTTAGTTCCAGGGAAATGTAGAAACCTTACTCTTACATAGCTCCACTCAGTCCTACCCTTTGTTTACTGTTGTTACCCACGTCACATCTTTATATGTTACAAACCCAGCAATGCATTGTTGATAATTATTACTTTATATAGTCTTATTGTATCTTTTAAAGAAGCTGAGAGAAAACACTGAGAGCAAGTGTAAATTTCTAAAACTTCTTGCTTACCCTTTTGGTTCTTTTCATTTCTTCTTGTGGATCTGAGTTACATCTGGTGTCGTTTTCTTAACCCAGTAAAGCTTTATTCCTACATCACCTTTGTACTGTTATTGTCAAATATATTCTATTCATTACATTTCTTCATGTTATAAGCCAAACAGTACGCTCTCTATATAGTACTTTTGCATATATATGCAGTTGCTTTTTAAATCAGCTTAGAGAATAAAGAAGGTATAATATGCAATTATACTATCTCTTCATTACCTGCATAATTACCTCTACTGTGCTTTGGTTTGTTTGATTTTCCTTTTTTGTATGAATTCACATTACTGTCTGGTTACCTGCTTTCAGCATGAAGGACTTTCTTTACTATTTCTTGGAAGGCAGATCTTCTAGTAAAAAATTTTGTACGATTTTATCTGAGAATATCTTTATGTTCATATTTATCTTCATGTTTAAAATATGAAAATATGGTTTTGCTGGATATAAGTTTTTTTTCCCTACTCTCAGTACTTTGCATATGTCTCGTACTGCCTTCTGGCCTCCTTTGTTTCTGAGAGAAGCTAGATGTTGTGATTAATCATTTTTCTCTTCGGGCTTTCAATATTTTCTTTTCTTTCTTTTTTATCTTTTTTGAGATGGAGTCTCGCTCTTTTGCCAGGCTGGAATGCAGTGGCACGATCTCGGCACACTGCAACCCCCACCTCCCAGGTTCAAGCGATTCTCCTGCCTCAGCCTCCCGAGTAGCTGGGACTGCAGGTGCACACTACCACGCTCAGCTAATTTTTGTATTTTTACTAGAAACGGGGTTTCACTATGTTGGCTAGGATGGTCTTGATCTCTTGATCTCATGATGTGCCCACCTCGGCCTCCCAGATTGCTGGGATTACTGGTGTGAGCCACTGTGCCCAGCTGGCTTTCAATATTTTCTTACCTTTGGCTTTCAATATTTTGTTTTTGATGTGTCTGGATCTAGATTTCTTTGCATTTATCCTACTTGGAGTTTATTGTACTTCTTGGATGTGTAGGTTTATGTTTTTGAACAAATTTGAGATTTTTCAGCATCATGTATTTGAATATTTTTTCAGCTTTTCTTTCTTCTCCTAGTGCTCCCATTACCTACAGTACACAAATGTGGGTGCATTTAATAGTTGCCCACATTTCTCTGAAACTCTGTTGATGTTAGTTTTTCTTAATTATTGTTTCTCTTTGTTCTTCAGATATTGCACAATCTCTGTTGATCTATTTCAAGTTTGCCAGCTTAAATGTACTGTTGAGCCCTTCTAGTGAATTTTTCATTTTGGTTATTGTAACTTTCAACTCCAGAATTTCCACTCCATTTTAAAAATATTTTCTGTCTTCTCTTTGATGAGACTTGTCATCATACCTTCCTTTAATTATTTAAGCATAGTTTCCTTTAGTTCGTTGAACATATTTTATTAAGTACTTTGAAGTCTTTGCAAAATCTACCATCTGGGCCCCTTCAAAGGCAATTTCTATTGCCTGAATGCTTTTTTTCTCTCTTTTTCTTACTGGTCACATTTATTTGTTTGTTTATGTTTCCATTTTTTGTAGGCTGAATATTTTAGACAATATGTTGTAGCAGTTCTGATATGTGCCCCCAGGATGTTGTTGGTTGGCTGGCTGATTATCTGTTTAGTGACTTGGCTGAGATGATTCTGTAAAGTCTGTTTCCCTGTAGTGTGCAGCCTCTCATATCCTTAAACGCAGATATTTTTCATGTTTTTCTTTTGGCCTGGCTACCTAGGGCTGCCCATGAGTTGCCTAAGCTGCTTATTAGTTACAGATTGTACATGAACCCCCTCAGCCAATTAGATTTTACCTTTTTTCTACCAGATTTGTGTGTAGCTTGGAAACTGCAGTCATAGTTCAGAGAGTTAATGGCGTTTGCATCATGTTCAGCCAGAGACTGGTAGTTTGGATGTCACCTCTCTGATTGTACATAAGCGGGTACAGCCTTGGGCATGCACACAGTCTTCCAGGCTGCGAGGGCTGAATATGATTTCATTTTTAAGTCTGACCTCCTAGGAGATGCCTCTGGGTTGGGAGAGCTTACTGCTCAGCGTTTGGTAGGCTGTTGTGTTTGGTAGGCCCGTTGTGCCAGTGAGACTCTGCCCTGTGTTAACAGGTCTTTGCGTAGCTTAGGAGATGCTTTCAAGCTTTCCCCACATCCCGCTCTGACTGCACCTGAATCAGTACAACCTAGCACATACCCAAGGCCTTCCAGCCCCTAGAGTTGTCGTTATCCCCGAAGAGCTCTTTTTCACTGTCTCTTTCCCATGTTATCTCTGTCAGAATTCCACTGCTCTATATCATTTTGCTTACAGCCTAGAGTTATCAGCCTCCTCTTAATCACTTTCCACTAAGATCTCCATTGTTTTAGAAACTGTCCATAGGCATGGACTTTTCCATGTTCTATTCCAAATAAAGTCAGTCCCCTCAAGCAGAGCTCCCTGTCTTAGCATCTGACTTTCCCATGGGCAGAACCTTTGCCTCACTGCACCAGAGCTGATGCAGGGACCTGCTTTTCCAGGAGTAACATCCTCACTTCTGTCAGTGACACTTGAGATGTGTGTATGTGTGTGTGCGCATGCATGCGCCTGCCTGTGTGTAAGCCCCTGGTCTTTCTGGCTTGCCCTTCATGGCTTGGAACTTTCATCCTATGAGCAAACTGGGTCAGGAATAATTGGGGCACAGTTATTCTCAGTATGTTGAACTTGGAGTGGAGCTTCTTCCAACAAGTGAGGATGGGTGGTGGGGAAGAGAATCTGGGCTCTCTTGGCCACACCTGCTTGGAATAGAGCTTCTGCCACATGGGGCTAGGGTAAGAATAAGAAATCCCAGCAGTTTGCCTTTCTAGACTGAAACCATAGCCCAAGCTATGGGAAGGAGGAATCCCTGGCCTTGGTCACACCTGTCCAGAGTGCACAGCAGCGAAGTTTCTGGAGCTAAGGCCGTAACAGAGCAAGTCATGGCTCAAATGCTGCAGACTCTGTTCTTACCAGGATTGAGTAGATTTTCTTGAATAAATGTTTTTCTATTTGCTCTGTTCCCTGAGGACAATTTCTAAAGACATTTTATTTATTTTAGACAGGGTCTCACTCTGTCACTGAGGCCGGAGTGCATGGTACACTCACAGCTCACTGCCGCCTCAGCCTCTCCAGCTCAAACCATCTTCCTGCCTCAGGCACATGCCACCATGCCCAGCTTATTTTTATTTTTATAAAGACGGGGTCTCACTATGTTACCCAGGCTGTTCTCAAACTGCAGGGCTCAAGGGATCCTCCCACCTCAGCCTCCCAAAGTGTTGGAACTACAGGTATGAGCTGCTGCATTCAGCCTTCTAGAGACTTTAAATGAGTGTGTGTGTGTGTGTGTTTTATCATATTTACCATTTAAACTACATTGTCGGAGAGAAAGTCCAATTGAGGTCCTTACCCTTCCATTCCAGAAGTCCACTCTCTCTGGGCTATTTTTGAAGGTTCTGTGAACATATAATTATGTCAAAAACATTTTGAAAAAACAGCAATAATTGGTTGGTTCTAGCATTAAGAAACCTGTATGATTCAGTCTTTTTTTTTTGAGATGGAGTTTCGCTCTTGTTACCCAGGTTGGAGTGCAATGGCACGATCTCGGCTCACTGCAACCTCCGCCTCCTGGGTTGAAGCAATTCTCCTGTCTAAGCCTCCTGAGTAGCTGGGATTACAGGCACGCACCACCATGCCCAGCTAATTTTTTGTATTTTTAGTAGAGACGGGGTTTCACCATGTTGAAACAGGGTGGTCTCGATCTCTTGACCTCGTGATCCACCCTCCTCGGCCTCCCAAAGTGTTGGGATTATAGGCATGAGCCACTGCGCCCGGCCTGATTCAGTCTTTAATGTTCCTAAAGTGAAAAAGAAATGGGAGTGTTTCGTCTTCAGTAATTTACAAGCGCCGTAGAAAACAGAATGTTAGCATTCACAAGAAGCTACATTTTGTGCTGACAGAAGGTTCTACAGCAGGAAAGGACGTTCTGCTCCATCTAGGGGAGCACCTGAGGAGTCTGCACCCTTTTCCATGGTAGAGGGTGTGTGCGTACCCTCTTCAGTGCGTATCTTTATCTCCTGCAGATTCGCTCAGTTGTCTGGAATGCAGATGATAGCAAGCTGATTTCTGGTGGCACAGATGGTGCTGTGTATGAATGGAATCTGTCCACAGGAAAGAGAGAGACAGAATGCGTGCTCAAGTCTTGCAGCTACCACTGCGTTACTATCTCCCCCGATGCTAAAATTATCTTTGCTGTTGGAACAGACTACACCCTCAAGGAGATTGCAGATTCTTCGGTGAGTCTGCCCCCTCCCCGCCTCCGGGCTGCTGCATGGATCTGCAGGCACAGCCTCCCGTGTTTACAGCAGAAAGTACACACGAATCGAGAGCCTCCGCTTACAGGGCCCCTTCTTTCCAGGATAACGTCAGGCTCCTCGTTCCTTTTGGATTAGCTCAATTATCGTCACTTCCTGAATGTCCTGCCCAGTTTCCTTCCTGACTGGATGAAATTAGATTGTGTGGCTCTTTTTCATTTCCATTTTACTTGCTGTCTATGTTCCACCTTCCAGGCATGGAGCTCATGTCGTCTCTAAACTGCACTCTTACCCTTGGTCTGCACTTAATTTCCTGGGGGAAAAACCTAACTACAGCGTGCACTGAGTAACACCAGGGACGAACCACAGAGACTCTTAAGATTTTCATGCCAGGAGAGTATAATGCCAAATTTTCGCTGCACCTTTTCTGTTTAGATACACAGATACTTTCCATTGTGCCACAGTTGCCTACAGTATTCAGTATAGTCACGTGCTATTCAGTTGCAACCTAGGAGCGGTAGGCCCTGCCACGTAGCCTAGGTGTATAGCAGGCTGTCGCAGCTAGGTTTGTGTAAATACACTCTGATGTTTGCATGACAAAACAGCCTAACCATGTATCCCATATCAAGCGATGCAGGACTGTGCAGTCAGCTGCTGTCACCTAGCCTTGCCACTGTGTTCTTTTGAAATCCCCAAACTCTGAAACTGTACAGTCATGTTGGGCTCCAGATAGCGAAGGGAAGAGAGAGGAGCTTAGCAAGGATGCGTCACATAAACACGGCCTGTGCGCTCCTCCAGCTGGCTCCTCTGGCTTTTCCTGTGACTCGTGCCTGGGAAAGTGCATAGATACCACGGCAGCAAACCAGCCCAAGCAGGTCTCCCCGTGGTTGGAACACGGCTGGGAGTATGGTGACTCTCCTGTGTACCCCCAAGTATCCCAGTCCTCATTCAATAGCAGTTATCAGTTCTGTGCCAGAATAAAGCCCTTTTAGCCGGCACACTGCGTGGTACACAACGTTCAGTAAATGTGTGTGTAGCTGGGAGGGTGGAGGAGTGCGTGGATGAGCGACGGAATGAAGGGGTGCTCTGAGGGTACGGTAGTCCCCCTTATCCACAGTTTTAGTTACCTGTGGTCAGCCAAGGTCTAAAAACAGGCGAGCATCAAACAGTAAGATATTTTGAGAGAGAAACCTCATTCACATAGCTTTCATACAGTATTGTTGTAACTGTTCTATTTTATTAATAGCTATTATTCATCTCTTAACTGTGCCTAATTTATAAATTAAACCATATCGTAGTTATGTATGTACAGAAAAAAAAAAAAACGTATATATAGGGCTCTGTACTATCTGTGGTTTCAGGCATCCACTGGAGATCTCAGAACATATCCTTGAGGATAAAGGGAAACTAACGTATAGTTTTGTTTATGTAATAGGCATTAATAAATGCCTACTGAATACATTTGTGACCAATATCCCATTCTCATTTTGAAATGCACCCAAGCACAGCAGTCAAAGCAGAGACTGGAGCCCACCTAGGTACATGAGTTGAAGCAAGGCACTTGTCACACAGATGGCCCATCATCTGTAGACTAAGGGTAACAGTTACTGCCTCGGAGGGCTTTGTGAGGATTGAATGAGGTGCAACGTGGAGAAGGCACAGAACGGTGCTTGGCACAGAGTCAGTGCGATATGAGGTCTCTCTTTATCAGTATTACTCCTAACTCATGAAACTGGTTATTCACCAGCAACACAGCAACAATATCTAGTTTGTGCCTTTTCTGTGCTAGGCACTATTTCAGATGGCAAAAGGGATAGAAAAAGCATTTTTAAAGACAGGCCCCTAGGGATGCTGTTAGAGGAGAGGGAGGGAGAGAATGGCATTGGGGCCTGGGGGCCACAGTTCGGCCCCTCACACTGAGCAGAGCTACCTGTGTCCCAGATCCTTCGAGAGATACCAGCGTTCGACGTCATCTACACAGCCATTGCCATCTCGCATTCCGGACGCATGATGTTTGTGGGGACATCGGTGGGAACCATTCGTGCCATGAGGTACCCTCTGCCTCTGCAGAAGGAATTCAATGAGTACCAGGCCCATGCTGGTCCTGTCACCAAGGTGAGCAGGGCCCTGTCCCCAGGAACCCAGTCCCACACCTGCCTGTCACATGCCTGCCACATCCCTTCACTTCCCAATGGATGTCGTAGCTGCCATGAGTGTGGGCTGCGCTTGACCACAGCTGCCTCCTTCTCCAGAAAATGACCCCAGGCTGAAAGGTGCCGTAGCCCAAAAGATTAGCCCATACGCTCCCTGAGGGTACAAAAGGCCACCCCAGGGCAATACCATGAGCACACATTTGTAAATTGTCCTTCCACTCCCCCTTCTCATAAAGTCGCGTCTATGATAACAACAGTCAAAATGTGGAAGCAACCAAGTATCCATCGACAGAGGAATGGATAAGTAAAATATGGGATGTCTACACAATGGAACCGTATCCTGCCTAAAAAGGAAGGAAATTGTGCCACACGGATGAACTTTGATAATGTTATGCTAAATTAAACAAGGCCCACCACAAAAAGACAAGTACGGTGTGATTCCGCTTTTAGGAGCTAGTTAGAGCAGTCAGAATCACAAAGACGGAACAGTGTTGGGAGGGGCCGTGAGGAGGAAGGAACGGGGAATGGTCATTTCGTAGGTATAGAGTTTGGGTTTTACAAGACAACAGGATTATGAGGGTGGTTGGTGGTGATGGTTGCACAACATTACAGATGCATTTAATAACACTGAGCTGTCCACTTGAAAATGGTTAAGATGGCAAATTTTACAGAATGTGTATTTTACCACGATCTTAAAAATGAAATAAAAAAGAATGATCTTGCATGAGAAATGGTCGCCAAGAAATCATAGCCAATAGTAAATTAAAGGTTATTCATAGTCTGAGAAAAAGTAGCGTCTGTACCTACACTGACCGCAGAGAAACAGGCGCTGGGAGAGTATGTGGCTCCTCTTCCTTACTCCCTCTCTCCACAGGTTGAATGACATAGCACCTGAGGTTTTTAATTATGTCCCAAACTCTAGTGGCTTACCTACAACACTAGCAGGATTAAGAAAAGATTTTCCTTTATGAAACAGAACATTCCTGTTTCAAGCCTGGGCCTTGGGTCCAGAGGAAATTCCTACAACATATTCCCCCTCTTCCCTTCAGCTCTACCAAGTTTTGTGGATGAGGTATTTATTTTTCTGATTATAAAAGCAATGCATATTTATTTTAGAAATAAAAATCCTCATAATAGCATCATCATTATTTTGATGCATTTCCTTCTACATTTCCATGTGGGTGTGTTTTAAACAAAATGAAGATCTTACTGTGAGGCCACTCTCGTGACCTGCTTTTTTTTAACTTCACGCTACTGTAAAGGGTTTGTCCATACAATAAAATATTCCTCAAAAGCGTGATTTTAGTAGCCATACAAATATCCTATCATATGGTGGACTGTAACTTACTAACTCTTACCTTGCTATTAGATATTTAAATTATCTTATGATCTGCAATGAATAGCCCAGTTTACACATTTATATGCACCTCTCTGATTCTTTCCTAAGACTAAATTCCTAGAGAGGGAAAGAATTCCTCAATGCAAGAGTATTACCATTTTCAAGATTCTGGACACATATTGCTGATTGTAAGAAGGCATTTTTCGTAGTTAACTCTTTTAACTTGTTATGCTGAAATACTTACAGATATCAGAGGAAATTTTAAAGATGATACAGAGGTCCTATGTATCCTTCACTCAGTTTCCCTCAATAAATACATCTTACCGAACCTGTAGCAAAATATCAAACCAGAAAATTGACACTAGTACACTGTGTATATCTAGTTCTGTGTTATTTCTCACATGCATTGTTTGTGTAACCACCACTAAAATCACAATATAGAGCCATTCTGTCACCGCAAAGATCTCCATGCTACCCTTTATAGGGTACAGTGGCTCACGCCTGTAAAGCCAGCACTTGGGGAGACCAATGCAGACAGATCACTTGAGGTCAGGAGTTTGAGACTAGCCTGGCCAACATAGTGAAACCCCCATCTCTACTAAAAATACAAAAATTAGCCGGCCGTGGTGCTGCACTCCTGTAATCCCAGCTACTTGAGAAGCTGAGGCAAGAGAATTGCTTGAACCTGAGAGGCAGAGGTTGCAGTGAGCTGGGAGATTGGGCCACGGCTCTCCAGCCTGGGCAACACAGTGAGACTCTACCTCAAAAACAAACAAAAAAAAACAACGAAAAGTTATTTCTTCTATTTAATGTTTGTACCTGTTAACCAGTCTCTCTTTATCACCCCACTCACCCATACACTCACCCCTGGGATCTGTCATGCCACTCTCTACCTCCATGAGGGAAACACTTTTTAGCTCCCACATATGAATGAGAATATACGATATTTTTTTCTGTACCTAATTTATTTCACATAACTTCTGGATGGAAGTTCCATCCACGTTGCCGCAAAAACATGATTTCGTTCATTTTTGTGGCCAAATAGTATTTCAGTGGGTACATACACCACATTTTCTTGATTCATTCATCCATTGATGGACATTTTGGTTGATTCCATAACTTTACTATTGTCAATAGTGGTACAATAAATATGGGGAGAATTCAAGCAATTCTCCTGCCTTGGCCTTTTAAGTAGCTGGGATTACAGGCATGCACCACCATGCCTGGCTAATTTTTGTGTTTTCAGTAGAGACGGGGGTTTCACCATGTTGGCCACGCTGATGTCGAACTCCTGACCTCAAGTGATCTGTCTGCTTTGGCCTCCCAAAGTGTTGGGATTACAGGCGTGAGCCACTGTGCCAGGTTGAAGAAGAAATGAGTTCTAATGTATCCTTTCGATATACTGATTTCCTTTCCTTTAGATATATACCCAGTAATGAGATTGCAGGATTGTATGGTAGTTCTGTTTTTAGTTTTGTTGAGAAGTCTACATACTGTTTTCCATAATGGTTGTACTAATTTACCTTCCCACCAACAGTGTACAAGAGCTCTCTTCTCCACGTTCTCGCCATAATCTGTTAGTTGTCTTTTTAATAATATCTATTCTAACTGGGGTAAAATGGTATCTTATTGTGGTTTTGATTTGCATTTCCCTGATGATTAGTGATGTTGAGCATTTTTTCATATACCTGTTGGCCATTTGTATGTATTCTTTTGAGAAATGTCTATTTGTCCTTAGCCCACTTTTTTTTTTTTTTTTTTTTTTTTTGAGAGAGTTTCGCTCTTGTCTCCCAGGCTGGAGAGTGCAATGGCACCATCTCGGCTCACTGCAACCTCTGCCTCCTGGGTTCAAGCAATTCTCCTGCCTCAGCCTCCCAAGTAGCTGGGATACAGGTACCCGCCACCACGCCTAGCTAATTTTGTATTTTAGAAGAGATGGAGTTTCGCCATGTTGACCAGGCTGGTCTCAAACTCCTGACCTCAGGTGATCTACCCACCTCGGCCTCCCCAGGTGCTGGGATTACAGGCAATGAGCCACTGCACTAGGCCCCTTAGCCCACCTTTTAATGAGATCTTTAGGATTGCTTGTCTGTTTAATGTTGAGTTGTTTGAGTTCTTTGTGTATTCTGGACATTGGTCTTTTGTCAGAGTAATAGTTTGCAAATATTTTCTCCCATTGGACAGGTTGTCTCTTCACTCTGTTAATTGCTTCCTTTGCTGTGGAGAAGCTTTTTAGCTTAATGTCCTGAATGTGGCTTTTTCCATTAAGCTTAATCCCCTTCAAATCCATCCGAGTTGTGTTGTGTATCAAAAATAGTTTATCTCCTTTTATTGCTGAATAGTATTTCATGAAAAACAAATCACAGCTTGGTTAGCCATTCACCTATTGTAGGATATGTTTAATATTTTCCAGTTTTCAGCTATTATAATTAAAGCTGCTGTGACCTACCATGTACAGGCTTTTGTGTGGAAATAAATTTTCATTTCTCTGGGATAAATGCCCAGGAGTATAACTGCTGAATCATACAGTAAGTATATATTCCGTGTTTTAATTTACTTATTTTTTATTTTATTTATTTATTTTTTTTTTTGAGACAGAGTTTCACTCTTGTTACCCAGGCTGGAGTGCAATGGCGCGATCTCGGCTCACCGCAACCTCCGCCTCCTGGGTTCAGGCAATTCTCCTGCCTCAGCCTCCTGAGTAGCTGGGATTACAGGCACACGCCACCATGCCCAGCTAATTTTTTTGTATTTTTAGTAGAGACGGGGTTTCACCATGTTGACCAGGATGGTCTTGATCTCTTGACCTCAGTGATCCACCCGCCTCAGGCCTCCCAAAGTGCTAGGATTACAGGCTTGAGCCACCGCGCCCGGCCTCCGTGTTTTTATTTTTTAAACTGCCAAGCTATTTTCCAGAGTGGCTGTACCATTTTACGTTCCCACCAAGAATGCCTGAGACCCAGTTTCTCTGCATCATTACCAGCACCTGGTGTTGTCATTTTTTTATTTTAGCTGTTCTAATGGGTGTGTAGTGATATCTCATCATGGTCCTAATTTTGTGTTTTCCTAAATGGCTAATACTGTGGAACATCTCTTCATGTGCTTACCTGCCATCTGTGTATTTTCCATATCTTTTGTCTACTTTCTGATTGGACTGTTTCGCTTTTTTACTGTTGAGTTTTGAGAGTTTCTTATACACTCTAGGTCAGGCATCCCCAAACTACGGCCCGCGGGCCACATGCGGCCCCCTGAGGCCATTTATCCGGCCCCCCGCCTGCACTTCAGGAAGGGGCACCTCTTTCACTGGTGATCAGTGAGAGGAGCACAGTATGTGGTGGCCCTCCAACGGTCTGAGGGACAGTGAACTGGCCCCCTGTGTAAAAAGTTTGGGGACGCCTGCTCTAGATAATAGCTGACTCTTCATATTCCAAATCCGCAGGGAACATAGACATAATCTTGCTTCTTCTGTTCATTAGCAGATGGCTGTGAAGGCTCCTGTCTCATTCTCCCTGTGAGGCTGTGCCCAGGATTGCATGGGGCGAAGCCTCGCATGGCAGCTGGCTCAGCCCTGGTCATCTGTGGCCTCGAAAGCTTCCTTGCCATGACCTTTTTCTCTTCAGATGTTGCTTACCTTTGATGATCAATTCCTGCTGACCACGGCTGAGGACGGCTGCCTGTTCACCTGGAAGGTCTTTGATAAGGATGGCCGGGGAATCAAGCGAGAGAGGGAGGTGGGCTTTGCCGAAGAGGTGCTTGTGACTAAAACAGACATGGAAGAAAAGGTAAGAATTGGATCCAGTGAAGAGGGGCATGGAATGCCTTACCAGTCTACATTCAGACGGGGGTCCAGCACCTGGACCCTCTGCAGTCTGGCTACACCCTGTGCCCAGTGCAGCCCCCACAGCTCCCTGCACACCCTCTGTCCGCACAACCAAGCTGTCCTCCTCACTGCCACTGGCCACCCTGCTCTGCCTGTCTTCCTGCCTTGTGATCATCTTGCCTTACTCTGTGCTTAGCTTTTATTCTGTGATCTGGTTTTCCTCTTCCTACTCTTTGAAACCAAGAGCAGTGAAACATCCAGTTCTCTTATATGACCAACAGTTTCTAGCACATGCTGGGCACATGGAAGGACAATCAATAAATACCTAGAGAAGCAAAGGATGTTGTCATTTAAATCTCACAACATCTCTATGAAGAAGATACTGTCATTCTGCACGTTTCAAAAAAACAAGTTAGGAGAGTTTGAGGGACGTGTCCAAAGTCAGTGTGCTGATAAGTACTAGGACTGGAGTTCTAATCCAGATTTAATCTAGAGCTCCCTCCCTTAATCGCTATACAAAAGGGACATCCCTTCCTTCCAGTTGATGCAGTAAACATTCCGTAAAGGTGCAGTTTTGCCCTCTGTGCTGCGCTCCCTAAGGGAGAAGCTGAATGGATGATAAACACACAGCTCATGGAGGATCGCACAGCTACACAGCCATTGCTGTTCATCCAAAATCTAAGTGTGTTTATTGAATACCTACCGTTTGCCAGGCACTGGGCATACATGTCTGTCTGTCGCAGGCATGGGCCCCGCGACATGACCAGGAAGCTCACAGTCAAGTGAGGGATAGAAACAGGCAAAGGCACGGAGCAACAATTGCAGGGTGACAAGTCCCTGGCATTTGCTGGAGATCCCTTCTAGAGCTCCCTAGAATTTTCTGCAGGAAAAGCAAAGAGGGAGAAGAGGATGAGGGAGGGCCCATGAGAGTCGGGGCCTGACCTGCTGCAGAAGGAGCCCTTCTTCCTCTCTCTTATCTTTTCTGTTCTTCCCAGAGGGTCGGGGAAGAGACCAAATAGGAAACAGCAGGCTGAAGCAAAGGCCTGAAGGTGCCCAAACTGACTTCTGAGCGCAGCCCCACATGGACCTGATGGTACTGCTGCCAGGCTGGAGATGACTCGCACTTGTACTGCTCACTTCTTGAAGCTCCCTTCTGTCTTACCATCCATGTGACCACACTCTGTCCCTGTAAACCTTTCGGACTCTTCCTCCCCACTCCTGTGCTGGCTCCTCCTTCACCTGTCCCTTAAAAAACATGTTCCCAGAATTCCCAGCTCAGGCCATGATTTACTCACTTATTATTCATGCCTTGCCTAGGATTTACAGAGGAGTCTGCTACGTACCTGACACTATACTAAGGTCTGGGATTACAGAGATAAAAGACATAGAGCATCCTTTAGCTTATAGCCTGGGAGGAGGGCAGATTATCATGAAAAAGGGAATTAAGCATGCAGTGGGATTAAGTGTCATGAAAGAACAATGTTGTGGGAGCCCAGGGGAAGGAACTTGGCTCAGGCCAGGTGGTGCCAGAGGACATGAGCCTTGCTCGCAGCCTTCCAGAACAAATGGACAAGGGCCACTGAGTGATAAGCAATGAGTGTGTACAGAGGGATGAGGGAGTGGTGGTTTGCAAAGCTGCTCCTAGTTAGGGTGTGCCAGAGAGAAGGGCTGAAGACAAAGCTGGAGAGAAACAGATAGGTCGGGGGGCCTTTTACACCATACATTAGGCTGAAGATTGTTCATAAGGACCGCTTATAGATTTAAGCTGGGAAATAACTTCACATGATTCACATCTGGAGAGATTACTCTGCAGCAACGTGGAGATTAGGTGAAGGAAGGACCCTGAACGAGGAGCTCAAACACAGCATGTCAAAGGTCAGGTCATCCCTGTGAATAAATTATCCCACTAGCCAGGGCAGACCCCTGGGGTCATTGGTAAGTCTTCATTCAGTGCTGACCAGCTTGCTAGTCTTATTCTAGCTTCTGTGGATAAAGCAGTGAAGCAAGACAGGCCAAGCCCCACCCTCAGGTACTGGCCCTTCTACCTGGGAGACGGCTTTCATCCGTGATCCTTACCTCTCCACCCACACCCAATCAGGCACCACTCTCTCTAAAGGCAACCTCTCCATTCCTCTCCAGTCCCCTCCCTACCTCACTCCAAACCCTCAATCTCTCACCTGGTCTGTGCCATTCCCCCCGCCCACCCCGGCGACTCACCATCCTGCCTTTGGTCCTTTAATCTAATCCGTGCTGCATACCGGCATTGGGGAGGTCTTTATAACCCCAAAGTCAGCCGGATCGGGTTCAATGAGGACTTTTGAAGCCCTCTAGGATAAAATCCAAACTTCCTAGCATGGCCTGCCGGGCCCTTGATGGTCTGACGCAGTCTTGGCTGCCTCCTCCTGTGCCTCTCACCTGTACCATATCACATACCCTGGCCGGGCATTCGTGCTCCCACCTCTCTGACTCTGCACGTGCAATTTGTGCTTATCCTTCATCTCAGTACTTCCTGTGCGCCACATCCACAGTAGTCTGCTGGCCAGGAATGCAGAAATGTGCGTAATCCATTCCTTGATGTCAGGTCGTTCGCAGGTGCTAGAGGAGACAGAGCAGAAATGATGAGATAGGGATGCAAGGGGTGTCCCCATAAATAAGCAAGAAGAAAACACTGCATTCTGACCACTCTGTCATCAACAGTAGCTTTTTTAGGAAAGGAAGGATGTGTGTATTACAGTATTTTTAGAAAACTTTGGCATCAGTGAGTATGATGGGAGAAGACACTAGGCCAGGCACAGTGGCTCAAGCCTCTGATCCCAGCACTTTGGGAGGCTGAGGTAAGAGGATCACTTGAGCCCAGGAGTTTGAGACCAGCCTGGGCAACATCGTGAGACCCCCCCCAATCTTTACAAAAAATATAAAAATTAGCCGTGTGTGGTGGGGCATGCCTGTAGTCCCAGGTAGTTGGCAGGCTGAGGTGAGAGGATCACTTGTGCCCAGGAGGTCGAGGCTATAGTGAGCCGTGATCATACCACCGCACTCCAGCCTGGGTGACAGAGTGAAACTCTGTCTCAAAAAAAGAAAGGAAAAAAGTAACACTAAGAAGACACTAGGCATAAAAACCAGCAAGACAAGAGAGTTAGGACATAAAGTAATAAAAGTGAGTCTAAGAAGACATCAGGAGGAACAGATTGGCAGTACTGAGAACTACCCAGCTTTGGGCACTTACCACTATTTAGAATAATGGGTTTATCTGGCTGCCTTGGTAGACTCTTAAGTTCCATGGGGACAGAAGTCATTCTTCAGTAAATGTCTTCTGAGCTCCTACTCTGTGTTAGACACTGTTCCAGTGCTTGGGTTATATCAGCAAATAAACCCTACAAAGACTCTGGCCAATGTGGAGCTTAAGTTCTAATGGAGAAAGAAGAATAAAAACAATAAACAAAATAATCAGTAAATTATAGAAAGTGCAGGATCTAAGGAAATAATAAGTAGAGCAGAGTAAGAGAGGTGATGGGTCCTGGGAATGGGAAGGGGTTGCAGAATTAAACAGAGTGGTCCAAGTCAGCCTCGTCAGGCAGGAGACATTTAAGCCGACTTGAAAGAGATGAGTGCATTACTAACACAACGTATAAGGATATTTGTGGATAGAGGAGGAAGGAAGCTCATCTCTCTCCTTGTTTTTAGCCAGGGTATCGCCTGGGGAAAAGATGACAAGTTCTAGTTGAGACACATTGAGTTTGAAGCTAGGCAGAGCTGCAGGTCTCACATCAAGGCCACCGGTTTAAATATTCTGATTCACCCTCACTGTCAGTGTTCTTGATTCTCTGTCCTTCTCCCAAAGGCACAGGTTATGTTGGAGCTAAAGACTCGTGTGGAGGAATTAAAAATGGAGAATGAGTATCAACTCCGACTCAAGGACATGAACTATTCTGAGAAGATTAAGGAGCTAACAGACAAGTTCCTCCAGGAAATGGAGTCCTTGAAAACAAAAAACCAGGTCTGTTTAAGAGACCGAGCAACAACTACAAATAACCAGAAATTTCCACTTTCAAGACAGGACTGGCATACGCTGTCCAAGCTATGCTCAAACAGTAAGATAGATGAAAATGCCCAGTTTTAAAGCATAGTTGATGATGTCAGAAATGCTTATAACTGGCCAGGCACTGTGGCTGATGCCTGTAATTCCAGCACTCTGGGAGGCAGAGGCAGGTGAATCACTTGAAGTCAGGAGTTCAAAACCAGCCTGGCCAACATGGTGAATCCCCATCTCTAGCCAGGCATGGTGGTGCACGCCCATGGTCCCAGCTACTCGGGAGGCTGAGGCACGAGAATCGGTTGAACTGAGGAGGCAGAGGTTGCAGTGAGCTAAGATCGCTCCATAGCACTCCAGCCTGGGTGACAGAGACTCCATTTCAATAAATAAATGAATAAAAATGCTTGCAACCAACTGCTAAGTGAAAAAAAGCAGAATATAAACCTTTATGGTGAATGGAATTAACTGGCATTAATGGCATTAAAAGATTAATTTATCTGATCTATAGTAGTAAAAAACGTATAGAAAATAGATAACAGTATAATTATCTCTGGAAGTTGGGATTATAGATAATTTAAATTTTCTTTTTTTTTATACTTTTTGTAATTTCTAACTTCTCTAGGAGAAACTTATTTAAAAACAAAATGAAAAGATAAGAAAAACAAAGCAAAACCATAAGAATATCAAAGCATAGATGGAGAATAACTAGCAGAATACTGATTTATAGTCAGGAAGTTAAATAAAATTAGTCTACATGGCCTTACGTAGTTAGATTTGGTTCAGGACTTTCCCAGATTCTTTTGTTCTACACAAATCTGGACTCCTATCTAAAAATCCCCGCTGGGCAAGGTGGCTCACCCCTATAATCCTAACACTTTAGAATGCTTAGGCAGGAGGATCACTTGCATCTGAGAGCTTGATGCCAGCATGGGCAACATAGTGAGACCCTGCCTTTAGGTAAAATGAGTCTGCCATGGTGGCGTATGCCTGTAGTTCCAGCTACTTGGGATGCCGGGATGGCAAGATCACTTGAGCCTGGGAGGTGGAGGCTGCAGTGAGTCATGATCTCACCACTGCACTCCAGCCTGGGTGACAGAGTGAGGCCCCATCCCCCACACCCTAAAAAAAAAAAAATCCCAATTATGTGCTTGAGGGATATTTGTTTCTTTAATGTCTATGGGTCAGAAAGTTTGGCTTAAAAAACAAACCTTGGCTATTAATTGTATTAATTAATTCATATTGTAATTTTATTCATCTAGGCAACAGACATTTATTTGGTGCTCTATATAAGCCAAGCACATTAGGTCCTGATGATGGTACCCCACCCCCAGCTCTCCCACACCAAGCCCGAAAGCTTTCCTGCTTAAAGCAAACACTTCCCCAGAAGCTTACACTTGAGCACACCCATGGATTTCCTTGACAGCAGTGTGCCGGCAATGGAGGATTCCAGTGAATCCCTACTTTTTCACCCAGAAGTCCTTTTGACATGTGTCCAAAACTGAAATCACTGACAAACCCGTTTGGTAGCAAGAATAGAAATAGGAGAAGTATAGAGCTTTCAGAGCAGAATATAACACAAATAAAAAGTGATCATGTGGTTGTTGCTTCCCGGTACAGTACTTGATACAAAACGAGGGCTTGGGAAATGTTTGTGAGTGAAGGAGGGGGCTACTTATAAAATCAGTTCTCGCCCTAGGAGTGCTTTCCGCAGATGTGTGTAAATGAGGAAATGTGACTCCTGTTTTAGGTCTTAAGAACAGAAAAAGAGAAGCAGGATGTATCTCACCATGAGCACATAGAAGAGCTCCTAGACAAGCAGAGCCGGGAACTGCAAGACCTGGGTGAGCTCAGAAGTAGAGGCCTTGTTGGTTAGGGTTGGGAAGAGTCAGGTTCTGGGAAAGCACTTGAGAGTCCTCCAGACACAAGTAGAAGTCTCAGGGAATACGGCTTTGTCTAAAGAGAGGGCTATATGCATCCCCTGGAACTCACCATGGTTTTTACTTCTGTGATTTTACTCATTCACTAAACACACACTCATGGCAGGGAAGTAAGAGACAAGGAGAAGTTCAAGTTTGGAAGCTGACAGTCTTGCCTTGGGTCCCAGGCTCACCACATACTCACCAGGTATTCTAGGGAGTCGCCTAACCTTACCGAGCCTCGCTTTACTCTTCTATAAAGTGGGGGTCCTAATACCTGTTTTTCACACTCAGGATATTCTTCTTGGCCCTGAGTCCCCAGATACCCCTCTAGGCTTTCCTAGAAACTTTTCTTCCCGGAGCAGGCAGGGAAGAGTTTGGCTGCCTGGTGAGATGATGGGACAAGCAGGGTGGTGGCGAGGAAGCCAGGCAGGCATTTGAATCTTGGCTCTGGAGGCAGCTGCTCCAGCTGGTGCTGGAAGGGATGGGAAAGTGCCCAAGCCTCCCGGGTGTCCCTGAAGAGGGTGCTGCTCTGCCAACCTTAAATACCTTCCTTGTTTCTCTCCAGAAAGTTGCAACAACCAAAAGTTGCTTCTAGAATATGAGAAGTACCAGGAGCTACAGCTCAAGTCCCAGAGGATGCAGGAAGAGTATGAAAAACAGCTCCGGGATAACGATGAGACCAAGAGCCAGGCCCTGGAGGAGCTGACTGAGTTTTACGAGGCCAAACTGCAGGAGAAAACCACCCTTCTAGAAGAGGTACTCACAGGAAGCCACGCTGTGCCTCCCTTTCACAGAGAAAGGCCACCCATTCCTTCAGATCGTCACTGCATAGCCACTGTACACTGCATGCCAGGATGTGTTGTACACTGGGAATTCAACAGTGGCCACAACCGACAAGGTTTCTACCCTCAAGGAACTTATATCTAATGGGAGAGACAGCCAAATAAATAAACATTAGGACTGTCACAAGTTCTGTAGAGAATATGGGAAGCCTGGGTGTCCAGTAAACAAGACCAAAGGAGATCAGGGGTGGGGTGTTGGTAAGATCAGAGTTGTAAGGTCAGGAGTTCGAGACCAGCCTGACCAACATGGAGAAACCCCGTCTCTACTAAAAATACAAAATTAGCTGGGCATGGTGGCGCATGCCTGTAATCCCAGCTACGCCAGAGGCTGAGGCAGGAGAATCGCTTGAACCTGGGAGGCGGAGGTTGTGGTGAGCCAAGATCACACCACCGCACTCCAGCCTGGGCAGCAAGAGCAAAACTCCATCTCAAAAAAAAAAAGATTGAGTTTGAAGTGGTGGAGCATGAGGCCCGATTTGGTAGGAAAAGAGGGGAGGCTGGAAGATAGAAGGACAGACAGGAAGAAGGTGGACAGGTCAAGGGCCCCATGGCCCTGGTCTCCATTTCTGGAATGCCACTCACCTCCCATTCCCTGGGACAGGTCCCCATGCTCATCTCAACTCAAGCCCCGCTGGCACGAAGGTGCGTGAGTCCCTTCTCCCCTGACCACACATCCGCTCTCTCCTCCGAGCCAGGCACAGGAAGATGTCAGGCAGCAGCTGCGGGAGTTTGAAGAAACCAAGAAGCAGATTGAAGAAGATGAAGACCGGGAAATCCAAGATATCAAAACCAAGTATGAGAAAAAGCTTCGGGATGAAAAGGAATCAAACCTGCGGCTCAAGGGAGAAACAGGCATCATGAGGAAGAAGGTATCGGGCTGTCCTCGGAGAGCTGGGATGGGTGAAGGTGTTGCGGGGGAAGCCAGGGTGGGTGGACTGACCGCCCTGGGGGGCCTGGCCAGGTCCTGCCTGTCCTCGTTTCCAGCCAGCAGGCTGAGAGAAGAGCCCCAGCCAGTGCACCTCCAAGCAGATGGACCCTCCCCACCCCATCCCCGGAAAGGCAGCTGCACGGGCTTCTCCTTTCCACAGGATGTTGGGGTCCCCGTGTGCAGATAGAGGCTTTCTAGTTTTCACTTACTGGCTAGTAGGATTCAGTCGGTGTTTTCAGAGCTAACCCTCAGATGGAAGTAGAAGTGGAGACAAGGTCTGGGGATGAGACAGATGAAGTCTTAGCCTGGAGGCATCCTTGGGCTCCTGCTCAGCGCCAGGGGTGGGAGAGGGAATGGGAGTGTAGGATGCTTAGTTTACAAAGTGGGGAAGATGTTTCTAGTTCACTCATTGTCACAGGTGAGGAAGGACTCAACTCAGTTTCCTCAAAACATTTAGCCCTGGAGAACCCAAGTTCAAAGCAAGCTCAAGTTCTTCCTATTAGAAAGCACACCAGCCGGGCGCGGTGGCTCGAAGCCTGTAATCCCAGCACTTTGGGAGGCCGTGGCGGGTGGATCACGAGGTCAAGAGATTGAGACCATCCCGGTCAACATGGTGAAACCCTGTCTCTACTAAAAATACAAAAAATTAGCTGGGCATGGTGGCACGTGCCTGTAATCCCAGCTACTCAGGAGGCTGAGGCAGGAGAATTGCCTGAACCCAGGAGGCGGAGGTTGCGGTGAGCCGAGATCACGCCATTGCACTCCAGCCTGGGTAACAAGAGCGAAACTCCGTCTCAAAAACAAAACAAAACAAAACAAAACAAAACAAAACAAAACAAAACAAAAAAAACACCAGTAAACCCAGGGGACAATCGGTCTTCACTTCTGACTCATGGCTAAGATGGCTCCTCAGTTAGGCCCGCTTTCTGTGACCTTGATGCAGTGTGGATCCCAGCCTTTCCAGATCAGTGTGGTCATGGGAGTCTCTGGTCCACTTGGCACACTGGTCTCTGGAGCCTCCTGTGTGGACAGTCAGTCTTCTCATGTGGGGAATGTGCCCGGATGTTATGGGACAGGATACTACATCATCCATTTGGCCTGGGAATTTCCTGAACTGTCCCAAGTTCTCCAAATATTCACTCCTAAAAGCCCAGAAATGTCGAGTGCTAAGAGTTTTCCATTCATAGAAAGTGGGGCGGTTGAGCTCGCAGTTGGCCAGCGGTGGGGAGCCCCTCACACGAGAGAGTGGGAGGAATGGAGATGAGTCCTGACGTTAGTGGCCTTTGTGGCTGCTGTTCGCTTTTCTAGTTCAGCAGCCTACAGAAGGAGATTGAAGAACGGACCAACGACATCGAGACCCTGAAAGGAGAGCAGGTGAAGCTGCAAGGAGTCATTAAGTCTCTGGAAAAGGACATCCAAGGCTTCAAGCGAGAGATCCAGGAAAGAGATGAGACTATTCAAGACAAGGTGACAGCCCTCCTTCTGTCCTCCCTCAGCTACGGCCAGATGGGCTAAGCTCAGGGGAGAGAGGGTCCCTGGCTTCTCAGGATGTATTGCTTTAACTTGATGGGGGAACCAGCGGTCAGTGAAGTGCCTATTGTGTGCTTGGCTGTCAACACATCACGTTTATTTCCGCCAACAACCCAGTGGGCCTGAGCAACCTAGTGTTATGGCTGGGAAGCTGAGCTCCAGGAGGTTGGGTATCTCGCCCAGGGTCACACGCTTTAATAGGTGAACCTGGAGTCAGCTGACTCCACTGCTCCAGGCATCTTCGGAGATACTTCCCTGAGGGACTGGGGGCAGCTCGCCTGCCAGACTGCCTACATGGTCCCCCCAATTGCAGAGGGACTCTCCTGGGGTTGGCTCTGTCCAGGAGGCTGCTTCCAGTTTTTGGGATGCCTTTCTTGCAAAACACTCAGACAACAGAAACATCACATTCTGTGGGGCAGACACCTCAATACGCAGCATTTAGTATCATCCTTCCTGGGGACATACAGATTCTATGCCCTCTTCTCCATCCCCTCTGCCACTACTGGCCTGAGGCAGGCAGAATTCTCCGGGGACCGAGGACTGCAGGCTTCAGTGTTTGGGAACCAGGTCCAGCCCAGGTTCTGTTGACTGGCCATTGCACCTTGAGCAACTTCTCTCAGCCTTCATTTTCTCACCTGTAAAATGGGGACAATTGGCCAGGCACGGTGGCTCACGCCTATAATCCCAGCACTTTGGGAGGCCAAGGCGGGCAGATCACGAGGTCACGAGTTTGAGACCAGCCCGGCCAACATAGTGAAACACCATCTCTACTAAAAATACAAAAATTAGCTCTGCGGGGTGGTGCACATCCGTAATCCCGGCTACTCAGGTGGCTGAGGTAGGAGAATCACTTGAACCTGGGAAGCAGAGGTTGCAGTGAACTGAGATCATTGCACTCCAGCCTGGGTGACAGAGCAAGACTCTATCTCAAAAAAAAAAAAAAAAAAAAAAATGGGGATGATAACCATCTCAAGGGGTCTTAAAAGGATTACATGGGATCATGCCTGGATGTCATTTCTGCATGAGAGTGAAGCAAGGCCATTAGATTGCTGAGAAGGCTGCTGCCCGCAAGCACATTTCTTCTCGAATGTACGTATCCGGGAGGATCCAAAGGCCTGTTCAGATTCTCAAAGGGGGTTTTGACAAGAAAGGGATGAGGGCCTCCTCGCCTGGAAAATGGCAGCAGCCCTCTAAGCGATCCAATGGCCTTGCTTCGCACCTCGTGGCACCATGCACTGGCAGGGTACAGGTGTAGTGCTGCGACTGTCCTGCCCAAAGCCCTTCCAGCTGCCGTTGCCACAGCAGGGGTCGGCACGCTCTTGCTGTAAAGACCTAGGTGGTAAATACTTTTGGCTTTGCAGGCCATGTGGTCTCTGCCTCAACAAATCAACACCACTGCCGTAGTGTGAAACCACCCCCAAACAACATGAATGAATGGACTTGGCTGTGTTCCAGGAAAGCTTTCCAGAAATAGACGGCAGGCCCAATGTGGCCCACGGGCTATAATTTGCCAACCCCTGGCCTATGAGATAAATTCTGAACTTGTTCCTCCAACACGAAGATCCTCACTTTCCTCCTTTATTTCCGCAGCCTGGCCTCTCACTTCACCCATGAACCACCATGTGGCTCTCAAACCAGTCATTCTCGGCAGCCTCGATTGATACTTGCCTTCTGTGCTTTCCTCTTTGACAATATTTATCACATTTTAGGCTTAGATTTGCTTCTGTATCTTCTTTCCCAGCCAGTGTTTTCTTTTAAGGGCAAGGGACTGTGTTATATTTATATTTGGAAACTCAATACTTGGCAAAAGATGTTCATTCAGTGAATGTTTGATGGATGGAGATACTCATGTTCCAATTACTATCCCCATGCAACAAATTACCTTAAAACTTAGTGACTGAGGCCAGGTGCAGTGGCTCATGCCTGTAATCCCAGCACTTTGGGAGGCCAAGGCAGGGTGGAAAACTTGAAGTCAGAAGTTCAAGACCAGCCTGGCCAACATGGTGAAACCCCGTCTCTACTAAAAATATAAAAATTAGTCAGGAGTGATAGCACATGCCTGTAATCCCAGCTACTCAGGAGGCTGAGGCAGGAGAATTGCTTGAACTTCAGAGGCAGAGGTTGCAGTGAGCCAAGATTCCACCACTGCACTCCAGGCTGGGTGACAGAGTGAGACCCTGTCTCAAAAAAAAAAAGAAAAGAAAAGAAAAGAAAAACTTAGTCATTGAAAATAACTAGTTTTATTCTGCTTACAGGTCCTACAGGCCTGGAATCTGGACAGGGTACAACAGGGTGGCTTATCTCTGCCCCCGATATCTGGGGCCTCAGCTGGGAATACTGGGGGTGACTCAAAACAGTTGGAGGATAGAAGATCAACATCCAATGTGGCTTCTTCAGTCACGTCTGGCACCTTGGCAGGATGTCTGGGAGGCTCGGCTCAGCTGGGTCTTTTGATCAGAGCCCCTAATGTGCCCACCAGCCTGGATGTCTCTCTTACATAGCAGATGGCCTCCCCCAGAGCAGGCATCCCAAGAGAGCCAGATAAAAGCTGCGTGGCCTTTTTTGACCTAGCCTTGGAAGCCTACACAGCCTCCCTTCTGCTGCAGTATTTGGGTTATGAGCAAGTCGCAAGTTCAGGCAGATGCAAGGGAAGGGAATTGGCTTCTATCTCCTGATGGAGAAGGAGCAAGGTCACGGCTGCAGAAGAGCTGGAGTGTGGGGCGGGAGATGCTGTGGGGGCCATCGTTGGAACATACAGTTGTTCACAACCTAATATGAATGAGTGAGTGAGTGAATGAATGAAAGTCCTGGCACAGAAGCTAAGGAGTCTGTGCGGCGGCCCCGTGGGGAGAGTGCCAGCCTCTGTACTGACGGGAGGAGAGGAGTCTGCTGGGTGACCTCTTCAACCACAGCCTTGATGCTCTTTGCCCTAAAGGGCTGCAGTATACCAGAGCCTTATAGTATCTCTCACTTTTCTCTCATCTCATCCCCAGGAGAAACGAATTTATGATCTGAAAAAGAAAAATCAAGAACTAGGGAAATTCAAGTTTGTGCTTGACTACAAAATAAAAGAGCTGAAGAAGCAAATAGAACCTCGGGAGAATGAGATCAGGGTGATGAAGGAACAGATTCAGGAGGTGAGATGCCATTTCCAA